TGACGATCGGCTCTGATAGTCTGTAAGGAATGAAATGATAATAAGGGCAACACAAAGTAACATACACTTTTGTCCCGATTAAAAAAACTAATTTTTTCTTGCTGCTTTCTTCTGTCGGCTTACTTTCGTTAGGTTTTTATATTTATTTGAATAATTCGTCCTTTTGAATATTTTTAAGTAAACAGTTATTATAAATGTGATGCCCTTGGTTGCAGCTTCCTCAGCCAATTTGCAGGCGGCTTTTATCCCCTCCTGAAGTGTAAATCGGCTGTGATGGTCTTTAAGGTATTTAATAATGATAAAAGCTACGCAACTTGGAGCACAAACATAAGACTATAATAGCTTCTTCTCAATTAATCACTGCAGATAATGCACGCTTAGACTTTTAACATGGCTTTTTACGGTAAAAATAAATGACATAAGAAAGCAATGATTTCCACCTGGCAGGAAAATTAAGATAAACCAAAGAACGAAGGTCAGCCAATGCTGACCGCCCGGTCCCTTGCAAATGGCAGGTAAAGTTGACTGCTTCCAAATAAGTAGGCGGTAAAATTGGGACGTTTTTATTCGCTGTTGTTGAACGCAGGCATGCGTCGAAAAGTCTGGATAGTAAAATGTTGATCCTCTTCTTCTATTTAATGCTACTAAATATTCTCAAGTAACTAGTTATGACACATTTTCGCAACCTTTACAAAGGCCCGTTTTACTAGCGTTGTCCAGTTCATAAAACTTCAGAAGGCCTTCCACATCTGCCTGTACAATCGCAGAATTAAAATACACAGACACACATGTGAACAGCACGCATTCATACGAACTTATAAAGGGAACACGGGATTAGAGAATGAGAAGTTATGGATGCGAGCACAAAAAAGATTAATCCCGGAGAGACCTTTCACGCGGCGCTGGTGGCGGCGCTTACGCAAACCACATGATTTTCGCCTACTTTGCATCTGGTAGCATTTTGATAGATTTATCATTTTGTTTTAAATATCCTTACACGGAGCATTTACTACGCGAGATAAGTTTTTATCGTGCAATCTAGGAATTTATTTAGGAAAAAGCAGGTTTTATTCTACTAAAATATGTCTTCAGGCGTAAGATAAACTGCAGCACTTGTTTCATTACTACTCATAGAGGTTGCCCAATATAATTTTACATTGCTGAGCGGGCCTGTGCTCTTATCTAGGTCAATAAATGGTTTCGGAATTTCCAGTTTTCAAAACAAATATGAGGGTTTTATTTGAATCCACGACTGTGTGAGAGTCATGGAATGTGATGTCAATCTGTTCGCTGACAACATCAAATTGTGGAAAGTTATCCAAAATACGCTTAATGAAATACAAGCTAACTCGAACAGGTTGAAGGAGTGGTCAAAGTATTAGCTTTTGCCCTTCAATGTTAGTAAATTTAAGTTCAGCGATGATACCCATATAAGCACTGAGGAAGTCAAGTTAGGCGAACGAACGTCTTCGAGTATTTCATCATCAGGCATGCACAATAAGTAATAGAAAACGTTCGTTCGCCTAACTTGACTTCCTAAATGCAACTTTCTTGAACTCGGCAGTTTTATAGGATCCGGCTCGAATGGTTACTTCTTAAATGGTAAACCACTCCAACAAACTGGCAGTCAGAAGGCCTTGGGTGTGCAGATTACTTCTTCACTCAAACCAAGGCTGAACTGCACGAAAGCGGCTAAGTTAGCAAGATCTATATCGCAACTGATTAAGTTAGTCTTTATGGAATTTTAAAAAGAAAGCTTTTCCAAAACATGTGAAATTTTCGTTAGGCTGCACCTAGAATTTGCTATACAGGCATAGAGAATTTGAACTTTGAAATACTGTAGCATCTTAGAGAATGTCCAGAGACGAACGACGAAAATGGTCAAAGGCCTGGAAACACTGCCCTATGATAGTTGACTGTCCATTATCAACCTATTTCAACTTTCCTACAGGCAACTACGAGGGGCTTTTCAAATCAACTTCCGTATTGTTAATAGCCTGGTTTGTTGTTCCTTTGCCCCTGAAGATTTTTCCCAGTCAAGCTCGCTTAATTTGTACGGTTATCCCTTTAAACTACGCCCCGGCAAAGCAAGGATCGATGAATGTAAATTTTCCTTCAGTAACAGAGTGGGTGTAGCGGGAACTGGTCTTCCCGAAGAGATTGTCCTCTTAACCTGTGTGAATAAATTTTAGAGCATATTGGACATGCAACAGATACCACATTCACCAGCCACCCGCTAACCGAAGGATCAGACGATAAAACATACATATTTCCTACGCATGCTTAGCATTTAATCAGGTTTTATTAATAT